TGTCCTTTGCCTTGACACCCATTTATCCTTTGAACTGGGTCTCTATTATCTCAGTGCAATTTTAGCATGACTGGAAACAATTCTGTTTTAACCACTATGAGCTCATGAATCAACACACACAATAGCAATCAAAGAAAAACTTCCCATGACCCATCTCTTAAACACCAGTATTGTGCATGTTACAAAGTGCCTTTTCAAAAAAACCAGCATCTATCCAAAAATGGATACAAAGTTTAAAAAGGGGTGGGGGAAGAGAGAGAGAGAGAGAGAGAGAGAGAGAGAGAGAGAGAGAGAGAGAGAGAGAGAGAACAAAAAAAAGTTACCACATTTTGAAGTTTGGAACAAAAAAAGTGGATTAGGACAATGCCCATCAAAAAACTTAAAAGATATTTTTGATGTCATATTTTTTTTCCTGATGCTTTAACCACTGTTAAAATATATAGCATTCAACAATGTCACAGACTTTTGGTTTTAGTCCCAAACCAAAAAACAAACTTCTCAGAGCTAAGGACACACTGTAGCAAAGCCAATGCTTCATTGTTTTGTTTTGATTTTTTCCCCAAGAACAAGTGTGGAGAAGTAATTTCCTGATTCCAAGAGACACCAGAGAGTATGGAAGTAGTATGTAGGAGTGATTCAATATAAAAGGAGAAAGCAAAAGAACATTTTATGCAGCCTTGCTTGCCACTGAAGATGAGCAGAGCACAAGCTGACCAAGGTCAGAGGCTGAGGACTTGGCTTGGGCATCAGACAGACCACACTGTCATTTTCCCTTCTTGAGACCCTTAACCTCACTGAATCTGATTCCTCATCAATACCCTAAATCTCCCTTCAATTCCAATAAAAATTCAAAGAAAACAAGAAGCTTTCTCACAGTGAATTTGGGGACAAAACTGACTTGAACTGAGTTGTCAATGTTCATAGTCATTATGTTTGATATAAACATGTTTTGCCCCAGAATATTAACGTGCTTGACTATGGAATACTGCCAGATGGGATAAAATGCATGGTACATGTACCAGATCTCAAACCAATCTATTCCTAAATAATTATGAGCTAAAATTTCAAATGTTTTGAGGACCTATAGCTTCCTTTCTCAGGCTGGAGTGGTGACAAAAATGAGGTGATGTAAGTAAAGCATTTAGAATTGTGATTGACATGTAAGAGATGAATACATCTTACTCACTGGCATTGAAAATACTAATGAAAGCACAGCAGAGACACAGAACACAATCAAATAATTGTTATTTCAACTTCCTGTCATTGGGAAACTTTTCAGTGTCTTTTGAAGGTTATCAAAGGCAGCAGAAAGTTCAACACAATCAGACATTTTTTTTTTTTGGTACTTCAAGGAGTAAATGTCAGTGGTCTGGAAAACTAAACATGGATCTTCTCACTCTAAAAATGCTAGGTGGCTGAGGTAAGTTATGATGTAATAAAATTGCTTAAATAAACTGCTAAAAGACTGAACGTCAGTTTGCCTTATCTTATCTTCCTCTGTAGATCTGTGGTTGGGTCATAAATTTACGATTTTTAGAAACCTAATGGTATGTAACAAGATCTCACAATGCTGTCCTCTAGCTTGTGCAAAAGAAGCCATGTTGGTAGCTCCCACTCAAAGCCAAAGATGCCCTAAAGCAATGCTGCTACAAAGCAAGTGCCTGCTAAGCTAAGAACAAACACCTCAGATTGAGGCTCATGTGACAGCCCACACTCCAGGGACAGGATGAGAAGTAAATCCTTTGGCTTGTATTCAGATAGTGTCCACTAAAATTCTCACTATGGCCATTTTGTGCTTGGTGTTTTAGTTTATTACTCAGAGTAGTGCCTGTGACTCAAGGCCTTGGTTCAAGTAATCTGGACCTTTCTGTGCCTAGGGGAAAGTTCTCGTTCAAATTAAAACTTGGTTGCCCAAAGACGCACACACAGAAGGATGGACTATCTGCCTAGAAACTCTAACTGAATTTCCTGACTCAGCCATAAAACCAGAAATTACATTTCATTAATACACTGCTTTAGAAGAAGATTGAAAGGTGCTGAATATGTGTAGATTTAAACCTTTAAGAACAAGGTTTAATAGCTGATTTTGTCAACAAAGTCAAAAACTAAATCTTGTTATCCTTTACCTGGGAAGGATTCACAGGTTTCTGGGGGTGAAGCATTATTCTCAGAAGTGCCCTCTTTCTCTTCATTCGGTGCATTTACTTATTTTTGCGTAATTAAAAGTGACCTTAAGGGAATAGGTATTTATTTAAGCTAAATTCTTCTGGAGCACAGGGATCTAACTGAAGTTCTTCAAGTTACCTTGAGGGAAATTCCTCACCTTACAGCACAGTGGTCTGGGGTCTTCTTCCTTTCCTTGTAGTGTTTCCAGATGGGGTCCCTCCTGGTTCCTGTGCTGCTAACCCAGGAGGAAGGGCACAAACTTGGTCTGGAGTTCTCATGATCACAATGCCTGAAGTGTTTTACCCTTGGCTTAGCTTCCACCACTCACTCACACCTGCAACTTCCCAGCCTCTAGGTGGGAAAAAACCCTCTAGTTAACTCATGCTTTCTTCCCCATGTTATAAGATATGACTTCAGTACACACACGGTATTGTTTTAGGAGAGGCAATAGAGGTGTCCAGTAAAGACTGGGAAGTGGCCAAGTTCTCTGTAGGATACACCTACACTCACACAAGGTATTTGCATGGTAGGTACCACATTCAATCTGCCTCAGGTACACACAGCACAGGAACTAAAGACAACTTGTGATTAACTGAAGTTTTCAGGGAGCTGTGTGATACTGATAGCTCAAGCCAGTTTACCTGCATGAAACTGAGGGGCAAAGCCCAGTGGAGAGATCTTGAACCCTCCCTTGCCATTTTTGCTCCAGTCTGCTATGCTGGGCATAATTCTGGATTGCAAGTTCCAAGTTGGCCTGCTACCCTTGGGAGACATAGAATTGGGGTAATTCATTTTTCTTTGTAAACTCAAGATTCTAGCATCTATCCTGTCTCGGCCTGCTGTGAGATCGAATGAGGCCTTTGTGAAAGCACTTGTGTCCATACCTCGCCTCTGGATTAAGGACAGACTCGTGGGAATTCTCCTGAAGGCCAAGTTCCCAGCTGAGAACGTTCTTTCCTTGGGGAGAGGTAAACTAGAGAGGAGCTCCCTGGCTCTTATCTTGGACCTTCAAGATTCAGTCTACCTTTTGTCAAAAACCTGAATAAAACTGAAATGGAAACTGCAGCTTACAAGGGAAGAGTTCTTCCCACCCTTACATTAGCACAGCTGTTACAAGTATCTAATATGAAAGGTTTACTGATGTGCTCAAGTCATCAAACACAAGCCACTTCCACTGTTGGTTTGGAATATACATTTGAACTGCAAAAAACAAATCAATGCAATTAGCTCAGAAGAATGGAGAAGGTGGTGAGCTGCTGTTCCACTGCTGAAGCCCCATGGGAAAATCCCAGTTGTTGAAACACTGCAAGTTACCCAGGAATGAGGTAGCTTCAGAAATGACAGCATCAGGGTATTGAATAACGTTTTTTGACTTATCTTTATAATTTCTTTCTGAATTCTAAGAAATCTCAGAGCCAAAAATGTCAATAAATGCCTTATGTTGGACATTATTTCCAGACAGCATGAGTGCTAGAATGTCCACGCTATGGCATGCAAAGCTACCCTCTGGGTGAAGGACATCAACTGCCTCTGCTCTTGGTTGCAGGATCCAGAATTTTGTGGTTTTGAGATGGTTAGAAACTTGAGTTTCTGGATAGTTCAGGGCTGCATAGTTCCAGTCACATATAGGTGTTGGAGGGGTGCTGCTGAAGTTTTCACATAGACCATTTCAGGAGCTGATCTTTTGCAGCTCACTGACCACAGAGTTACTTAGAAGGCAGTGACTCAAAGTGAAGTGTGTATCTATAAACTCTATGTGAGATCCACTGGTCTTAAGAAGGTCTTGATGGCTTTTTAATCTAGGCTTCCTTCTATTGTCTTGATGGTTCTACTTAAAGTCAACCTTGCATGCCATTTTGTTCTTCCATTGGAACTAAGTTTTCTCTGGTTCAGGTAATCCCTTATCTTTGTTGTTTATCAGACTCTGCAAGACATATTTAGGGCAAAAACTATGGCAAATTCAAGAACCAGTCTGAAGCAATTACCTTTACTTTTTTGATGCTAGGGGTTGAACCCAGGGTCTTGGGAATAATAAACACAAATTCTACCACTGTACTATAGCCCCAGTCTTTAAGAACTTACTTGCCTAGACTAGCTGCACCTGTGAAGAAGATACCCACTGTTAGGACAGACTCATGTCATCCTGTGACGCAGCTCTGCTTGTAGCACTCACACTGGTCCAAGCTTACGAGCACCGCTGGGGTCTACTCACGCAGAACCAGAGCTGCTGTCTCCTGAGGCTGGCTGCCGCAGACTACCTTGGACTCCCAACTTAAGCCCTCTTACTCTAGAGATCCTAAAAATGTCTGAATCTTTACAAACTCAAGCCAGTACGAGAAGGCTGATGTTTAAGAAGGTGTTTCCCTACTTCATATACACAGCTAACTTTGTAATTTTGAAAGCAGTGTTGGTTCCACAGAATGTTTGGTGATGAGGGAAACATCCACAAATTTGTGCAGTCCAGTATGATAGCTACTAGCTGCATATAACTACTTAATATCTGAAATGTAGTTAATGCTACTAGTGCACTGAGTTTTAATTTTAATAAAATTATGTTTAAATAGTCATAATGTAACTACACTGAAGAGTGCAGCTCCAAAGAAATAAGGCTGAGAGAGATGTGACATCTTTCTGACAGCCAGCATTTTCACAAGAGATGCTCAATAAATATTTGATAACAATCTTTGATAATTTTTATCTCTTATCCTTTTTAGCTTATCTCAAGTGAGAATAAAAATAAAAATGGCAATGATATAAAACACATGCTACTTAACACCAGTCTACCTTGAATAGAACTAAAGCCAGGAAGACAAAGAATTAGAAAAATAAGCACACTAGAAGTTATTTATGTTTAATGCTTAAAAGTCTGAATGCACAAACAATCTACCATAATAGAAGTACTGGTGGTCAATACAATGCATTAGAACTATGTACAATGCACAGTTTAGTATCAAAATCTTTCTACACTGTAGAGTTTTTACGAAACTGTTAATGACATCAAACACTAAGCACTTAAGACACCATTTTTTTTTCTGCTACCACATTAGGAACGTCAATGGATAGTCCATTTCAACTTGCAGCATCCATCCATTTCTAGTATGAAATTAAGTAATTTTCTACTTATACAATAAAGTTTATCTACACGGTTCTTTTGATTTTGATCCATAGCAGCAAAGGCACTGTACATCAGCAGATCCACAGACTTAAAAGATTTTTTTAAAGCATTCAAACAAAAAATAATAAAAAAGGAGTCACATATTATAGTTTAACAGCAACAACAACAACATAAAAGATAACACAATGTTTCTGGCACAATGGCACAGCCTGTGTCCATTTCAGGGACATCCAACTAAGACATGGAAGGAACTGGAGGTAAAGAAAGCAAGTCCTCATCCCAGGAGAGTCTCCATTCTTTGTGTCTTTCAGAGGGAGGTCTTTGCAAACCCTCCTCTGCTGTCCTTGTTTTGTGAAAGACTTGACTTGCACAGCAGTAGGAGTCCTTCCCTTATCTGTGCAGCTCCCAAAGAGCATGACACAAAATAGCGCATAATTTCTCACAACAACAAAACTGCCTAAAGATATACATCTCCCTTTGCAAAGAAATGTGGCAAAAATATCCAGAAGGGATTAAGTTCTCTCTTTGAGGCCCAATTTAATTTGTTCATCTGTCTATAATACAATAAAAAAGGGAATTAAAAACATATTACAAAGACACTTGTCGACAAGTCAAAAAAAGAAAAAAGAAAAGTCCAAGTACTTTTATCGAATATAATCTAAAGCTATAGATATATTGGTTAAATTGTCCAAATAGACTCAACTGAATAAGACTTGGCCAGTCAGGTTCTAATTGTTCAGTCAAATTTCCAAACATATTTAAAATGAGTAGAAGACAAAAACAAAAAAACCTAGTAACAACACAGCAACATATTGCTTCCATGTGTAATTATACATTTCACATCTCTATACAGTCAATAGTCTACATTTAGTGACATTTTTAATCAATTTTTAAGCCTTCCTTTCCCAAAAAAGGGGGGAGGGTATCAAATACAATGCACCTTCATTATCAATGCAGGAGCAGACAGCTTTATTTAGTCAGTCATTGTTAGAAAGCCTTCTTTAAACAAAATAAATATATTACAGATATAATACAGAATTAAAGACTCGTTCACTGTTAAGTATGCTTACTCCATGTTCTTCCAAGTAGAGAGCTGAAGATTTGGTATCACAGGTTCTTAAATGAGTATTCACAATTAATAGCAAGGAGGAAGAAGGGTTAAGAAAAGGGATTAAACTCCACAACTGCAGTAAGTATTTGAAATCCTTGGTTTTAGATGTAAGGGGAGGGGTGAACAAAAAAGAATGACATCGCAAAGTGCTACAAGGAGAAGGAGTCCAGTTTGCATGAAGATTTGTCCCTAATAAATAACTTCATAAACCGTGGCCTTCTTATCCCCAGAGCCAGTGACAATGTATTTGTCATCCACAGAGATGTCACAGCTAAGCACCGATGAGGATTCTTTGGACTAGGAAAGAAACATATAATCAAAAATGTTAAATACTGACAGAAAAACCAATGAGCACTGGGGGACTTGGATATGTAAATGCAAAGTGCTCCATGAAGCAAATAGAAGGGAAAGGCAGGCACAACACTTCTAAATGTGGCAGAGCTGGATTGGATCCATTTTGGAGGACACCTCACCAGCTCAGTCTGGAGGATCCTGCCTTGGGGACATGATGGAACAGCCTACTCAGTGGTATGAGCACCTCTGTTGATGAAGCCAGGCCCTGAATCAAATCCTGTTCTCCAGAAAGTGAAGATTGGATGTTATCAATATGAGAAAACTTCATCTTCTGTCTGATGGATCTGGGTCATATTACAGAACAGCAGACACATGATCACTTTATCCTATCCTGTCTGAGCCTTAGTTTCCTTCAAAGGCTCAGAGGTATAGACATTTCACCTGTCCTCACATCTCAGAAGGCTGACACAGAGTTCAGGTGAAGTAATATGTAGGAAACAGCATTGAAAACAATATATTTTTTTGAGATAGAGAATATGAATATATTCCAAGTAAAAAAGCCTCATGCTCCTAGAGTAAAAACATAATGCAAACTTGTTAAGAGGAGAGGGATTCAGTAGTTGGAAAGAGAAATGTGCTACATACTTAAGTGGTATACAGTGTTCAACTCTGCTACAAAGGGTTCAATGTTAACTTTTAACTGAACTGTGCCCATTTGAAACAAAACAAAATAAAAGAAACACCACAGGATTTAAACTAGGACTCTGTTAAAAAAATAAATGCAGCTGCTAACTTACTCTGTGTTAGTTTTAATTGCAGCTGATAATAATTTGAACTCGCAACCCCATGCTCATATGATACTTACATTTACTATGAAAGACACACTCTAGTATTTTCTATTTCATTTGTTTAACAAAGTGCTGGTTGGGGGCTTCCTAAAAGGTTGTGATCCATATATGAAAAACCCTTGTATTAAATTATAAGCTTCACAACAGCAACAATCGGCTAGTTTTGTCCTATTGACTCTCTTATGGGTATTTTCACTTTCTACATAAATACATTTTGGATTCGATTGAACTTATCTACTCTATGACGACTTTATACCACTTGGTCAAGAAAACCAAAAATTTGTTATTTCTCAAAAAAGAATAGATAATAATATCCTAAATATAGAATACTGAAAGTCTTTAACTTGCCTATGAGATCTCACACACCAGCCAGTACCAGAGAGTAGGAGAGAGACTGGGAAGAACAAAAGTTTATAAAATCAATTTGGATTGACTGAACTTTTAACAGTCTTCTTTTGGAAGAAAAAAAAAAATCAAAGAACTGATAATACTAGTAAGTATTTAAGCAAAATACTCAGGTTTTAAAATAAAAAATTTAAAACCAAACAGAAAGAACGAGCAAGACAAAGAGAGATTGGGGGGGGGGTTTGATTTTCACAGAAGACCTAAAACCTCTACTTTAGTATGTACAAAAGGATGGAGGCATGCACGAAGAACTAGTGCACAAGGCACAGTTGTGGCTTCAGGTCAGAGATTCCTGGAGAGGAGCCCAGATCTAGGCAGATCTGTGCTGCCTAAATGCCCTTAGGCAGTTTCTGATTCTGCAGGATGGGATGACACCTAGCTCCAACCTCCCAGGACACTTATGTGCACTATTCATCTGAGAATTAGCATGGAGACAGCATGGCCAATCCACTGTCGGCAGCAAGCACACAACACATAGACACTAAGTATGTTAGGTATTACCTGGAATATACTGGCTCCATAAGGTGTCCTCCAGGCATTCAGAAGGTTGTCCTTTCCAGTACTTACAAACCATTTGCCTGTAGGAGGAGGGTTTTGAAAAATGCAGTGTTTTTGTTACTTTGTGATATACCCAGGATTTGCTTTACAGAGTAACAAACTACTCACATATATTCAATCAATTTATAACAAACAAATATCTAATACATAAAAAATAAAGCCTACCCTCCTAGATTCAATGAGTCATTTATAGTTACGATAAAAATAAAGTAGACTGATGCCAGAAAATTACATAGCATTAGGTGAGCAAATAGGAATAAGGAAGTATAATACAGGAGGGCAGAAGGAAGAATTCTGGTTGACAGAAAATGAACCAAAGATGCTTACCACAGTGGGCAAACTTGAGTGACAGCACACAGCTCTCATGAAGATGCAACTGGTATTTGTCTGGCTTGGTGACATGCAACACTTCCACATTACTGTTCTCCATCCCCACTGCAAGCCACTCTCCAGTAGGGCAGTAGCCCAGAGAAAATATCTAGAATTTAAACAGGTGATGTTGGCTATAGTGGATATGCTTTTTCTTCATTGAGAGATACTCTCTCTTCAGGGGGTGGGGATGCTACTTAAATAATGAAGAAAATTGGAATTGTGCAGGGAGAAACCAAAGTCAAATGGATGATCATAAAATGATCCACTGTCAGAAGTGCCCTTCCTTCTGTTAGTGTGTCATGTTTCATAAATGTATGCCTTCTAAAATGGCACAGAGACCATCCATACCTGTGAGGTGAAGTCATGCTGCTGCAGCTGCCGCCCTTCGCGCAGGTCCCAAGACCTGACCGTGTTGTCCAAACCTCCTGTCCAGAGCTTGGTGCCATCATTAGAAATGTCAATACAGCTGGCTCCATCTGTGTGGCCCTGGAATTGCCTGAGAATGTCAAAATGAAAGGACAGAGTTTGAAAAGTTGGTTTTTAGTTGAAATTGATTTGGAATTCCTTGACCATCAATTTCAGTGCAGGCCTTGTCTGCAGATTTCATTTTGGCTTATTTTCTAGTTATTCCAAATAATACAAAAAAGTACAATATAATACAACAGTGTGTCTGTGGGTTGCTGTGCAGGATGAAGGCCATGCTCTCAAGGAAGGCAAATGGAAGGACACTCAGTGTGGTCCACTGCCCCAGGACCTGGTAAAATGTACACAGGACACTAAGAGAATTCAAAGCAGCTCTTCATGTGAACCTCACACAAAAGCAACAAGACTGACAATGATTTTGCTTTTGGAACTGAATACAGAGCTCAGCCCTTCAAAATAAGATATGAACAATAAAGGCCTCTTTTCTTTTACACACTCACCTTGCTGCAGCAAAGGGTGATTATAACCTTCTCATACCCATTAGCTAATTATACCTCTTATTTGCTCTTCTCTTAGGTATTGACAGCTTGGAAGTTAGTTCAGGGCTTTGCCAACACTGACCCTATACAATCTTCATTTCTAAATAAACATTGGAATTTATGTCTATCTGTCCTTAAATATGAGACGATAGACAATCTGGACCATTTCACAGTGAGCAGTGCCCAACAGTGCCCAGGCTTTTGGTTAAGTGCTAAATAACAATTTTGTGAGAACGACTATTTCAGGTATGTGTGGCACCATGCATTTTGAGTCTTCTCAGTGAGGATCTATCAGCAATAATGGTTTGTCAGCAAGCACAGATGGCAAATTTCAGATGTCTAATGAGCTCATAAGGTCACGGGAACTTTATGTACATTAATTATGTCAAACTGACCTTAATTTAAAAAATCTGAATTGACAATGCTTGGTATATAAAGAAAAGGAAAAAACCCTTCTTATTTTATAAAGTAGAAAAAGTGTGGAAAACATGTAATTGTATTCCATCTATTTAAGACACATACACTCACATATATAGCATTTTAGCACACTGTGGTAAAATTAGCTCTTCCTTGTGATCTGGAAATGGATCCTGCTGACTTACCTAACCAAGGTCTGGTTGTGCAGGTCCCACACAGCAATATTGCCATCGCTGCAGCACGAGAAGCAGACTTTGGAGTCAGGGCTGATGGCCAAGGCGTAGCAGGCAGGGGCTGAGGATGTCAACTCTGCCTTGATGCGTGGGGTTGGAGCCGCCAGGTCCCAAATGGACAGAGTACTGGCTTCCCCTCCAACAATTAGGGTGCGACCATCAGGGAGCAATCTGCAGGAACGGATGTAGTTATCCCTGTTCTGTAGAGACAAAAGCCATCAAGAGATTACTCATGAGGAAAGGAAAACAGCATTAACATGAGAGCAGAAATCCATAAAAGTATTGTGTTCCCTCCTGGTTTAATGAGCCATTTATACTTATGACAATGATAAAGTAGATTAATGCTAGAAAATTACATGAAATTAAGGAAGTACTTAAACGTGATCTACAAAATTTAGTACAAGATATTTAATCTTAATTAGCATCAAAATGCAAAGATCTAGACCCACTCCTACTGCCACCACCAAATCAATCAAGTGCTCATGTCATTTACACATACAGATCCAAATGCACAATAAAGCAGGAACTCTCACACCCCTGGAATATGTAACTGTGAAACACTGGTACACTTTGCTGCTACTGAAGGGTCCTACTACTAGCCAAGGAGTTGTCGAGGGTTAAAGACACCTGTCAGTCTGATCCTTTTGCCTGACCCTGCAACACACGACTACAGGGCATTGTGGGTTCAATGAAGCAGCATCAATTGGAGGCAAGACTCAGTCAAGGACTGTTAAGTGATACAAAAACCAAACCAAAACAAAATCTCTTTATGAGATTAGGGAATCTTATCTACATTTAATAATTTTAAGTTAAATGCTGCAGCACTGACTCAGTTGGTATATGGGAAGAAAACCAGGCTAAAATTTCCTATGCAACTCAAGGACAAATGCCAGTATCAGCTAAAGGGGTTTCTAGTGTCTGCACATGGACTAGCAAATACACTTTATGTAAGAATACACTTAGGTACACTCTCACAGGGACCATGTGTGAACTCTTAAGTTTCCTTAAACCCTTCCATTACATAGGAAAACAAGTGGTTTGCCTTTTCCTTTGGGGGGCAGGATTAATGAAAACTATACAGGTGTATGTGCTATGTGCCACAATGAAGAACTGAGTCATTCTACTTCAAACACCCAAAAGAAGACACACCCCTCAGGGAAGTCTACCCACTTGGGATCACTACTATGTAGTGTTGTTCACGCCTACATTCTACCACCATTCCTTCCTGTTCCTGGTTTCTGAACGAAAATGTAAGTCTTTGGTATCCATGCTAACTTACCAGACAGTCTAGCTGAGAGACCGGGCTCTTGTTGCCAGGGTGGCTGATGTCCCAGACCTTGACGCAGCCCTTGCCACCCGTGTACACGTGTCTGGTGGGGTTGCTGATGGTCACTGCACACACCACCTCCCCATGGTTGAGGGTGTTGATCTGGCGAGCATGTCGGGGGATTCCAGGTCCAATGAGGGCGTCAGGCGGAAAGGGGACAGGTTGCATCTGGCCGTCTGCACTAACATGGAAGGAGTATGCTCTAAGGCAGGGGAGTCGGGAGAGAGAGGAAGAAGGCAACAAGAAAAATGTTACCTAACTGCTCAATGTAATAACATGAAAAGAAAAACATTTTTACCACCACCTGAGATGTGCAAACAAGTCAAATTTACCTAGTATAGCAGAAATAATACAAGTTTCAAAGTCACACAGCTAGATCCCTGATCACATCTCAGGCTGACTATATGACATCAGTACTTACTTAACCTCTATGAACGTTAGCTCTACTTTCTAAAAGGGAGAGAATACACCTATGCCTTACAGAAAACTAAATAAGATGAGCAATGTCTAGTACAGTACCTACTGATTCAAGGACACTCTAAAACCCTGCATTATCTTCTACTTTAGGTGATCCAAAGCCTATAGATCAATTCATTCCAATCAAGTGACTTACTGATGGAAATCAGTAAGCTAAAAATCTGACGCTCTAAGGAGTTGAGTTTCGAGGTGCAGATGATGAAATGGCAGACATGCAGAAAAGGAAATAACAACTTGATCATACTAGCAAATCACAAATTGTAGTAAGTCCAAGTGAAATGAGAACCTAAAAGGCAGTTCACACCCATGGGAAGCCCTGTGGTATGAGAGTATTTGTTTCTAAATTGCAGCATTTTTCTTAACATACTCACTCTTCTTTTAGGACTTTGAAGTCAGGGAGGGGCAGTGAGACTGCTGGACTGGTCTTGGAGGTTATCACAGGCCACAGCCCATTTTGAAAACTGTGTCAATGGCAAGGAAAAGCATTTGTGGGTGCAAAAGGAGAGGAACTTGGATTAAACCACAGGGAAGTTTAGAATCAGATTAAAACTTTATGATTTGTTAATGCAAAATTCTGTAGGCTGTCCATGTTTTCAGAATTTAGCCCATAACTGAGGGGTGTTCTCAACAACCTCAATGTTCCTGGCAAGATGAAGTGTACATGTAGTTTTGAAAGATGTGAGTGTCTTTACTTTCCCTGGAAACTACAGACAGTTGTGAAAGGAAGTGCGTATCAGGCTTGCTGAGTGGAAAAGAGGCAAGAAGATAGAAAGCCAACAGATGGAAGATATTCTTAAGAATACCAACAGGACTTGGGAGACACAATGGCTGTGTAACCTGAGAAGAAAGAGATGTTTAGAAGGACTCTAGAGCTCAGAATTTAGTGACTGGCTTGACAATGGAAGCATATGGGTATGTTTGGATTCAGTTTACTTGAACTTGAGAGCAGATGAAAATCCAAACAGTGTGATTCAGAAGAGAGGCTAGATTAGAAATATCGAAGTGTGGTCATTGCAAGAAAGTGACAGTTGAAGCTAAGAGGGCAGAAAGAATAATCGTGAAGCAGATGATGTGGTAGGAAGAAGACCAGATGCAGAATCTAAGAGAAGGCTTACATTTAAGTAATCTCCAGCAAGACCAGTCAGAGAGGCAGTAAATTATTAGCAGAGACAATAAAATGAAAAGGGCCAGAAGATGGTTAAATCACAGGGCAAGTTGCTGAGATAGTCATCTACTTCACATATATTTCTGGAGTAATTTAGTGAGCACAGGGAAGGCAGGGGAGAGATATTCATTGGTGAGATGCTTACCTCAACACCTAGGAAAATGTCAGTCAGCGCTATGAACACTGGAGGGTCCATGATACTTTGGGCATATCAAGACAGTATGAGGAAGAGGAGTATGGGAAACATGAAGGCTAAAGCAAGAGAACATGCTTCTTATCAATTATTCAGTTAATATTTATTAACTGCTTCATATGTGCTAGGTACTACTGGATGCTAGGGAATCAGAGATGAACAAGATAGGCTAAGTATCTTATTCTCATATAAGCCTATATCTTAGAGAAGAAACCAGATAATATAAAGGCAGGTAAGTTAAGTAACTGTAGGCATCAGTAAATGCCATTACACATACACTTACTCACTGACTCCAACAAGAAAGAAGAAGGGCTTGGAGTAGAGGCAGTAAGGCATATGAGCTGAGACCAGAAGGAAGGATACAGACCTTGCACAAATCTGGTGGGAGTTGTGTCAGGTAGAAGGAACAGCAAATGTAAAGCCTTGAGGCAAAACTAAGCAAGAAGGCCAGAGTGCAGTCAGTAGAGAATAACAAAGAATGACATTGAAGGGAGGAAAGGGCCAAATTTATAACAGTCTTGTAAGCTGAATGAGAAGTAAGGATATTCTGAGTAGAATGGGAAGCCACTGGAGATTTGTATGAGGTTATGATTCAGTTATGCTTTCAAAACAACCATTTTGGTTGCTGGATAAAGAATGGATTGGAGAAGGCAAGATAAAGGAGGATAAATAGTCAGGGGGCTCTGGCAGGGGGGAAGCCAGTGGCTAGGTCTTGGGAGAAAGTTGGGGACAGGATTTGCAATTCAGAGGATCTAGCTGGATGGGATGCTTAAATTCTGGAGGTGACAAGCTCTTTATTTTTTGGGCAGTACTGGGGTTTGAACTCAGGGTCTGGCACTTACTACGGAGGAGCTCTACTACTTGACCACCCAGAACTTTTTTGCTTTTATTTTTCAGGCCAGTCTCCTATTTTTGCTTGGGGCTGGCCTCAGACTGTGATCATCCTTCCTACATCCTCTCATGTAGCTCAGAGCACAAGTATGAGTGACCATGCCTGGCTTGTTTGTTGAGATGAGGGCTCCCTAATTTTTTGCCTAGGCTGCTTTCAAATCGAGATCCCAAAAAATCTCTGCCTCCTGAGCAGCTAGGATTACAGGTATGAGCCACCATGCCCAACTGACAAGCTCTTGTTTGCAAGTCTATAATATAGGTAACTAAAGTCAAGTAGGGCAGATATTCACTACAAATGAAGTGGTCTAAGAAACAAGATGAAGTTATTAGGGGATTGTCCTTGTGGATACCAGAGTCACCCAGATTGACAATGGTAAACTCTAAGTAGAAGAAGACTCTAAACCATGTGTTGAGTTTTCAATAAACTGGGGGAACCTCCCTGCCAGGTGGAAGAGAGGAGAGATTCAAACAGCACATGTCTGAAAAAGTTAAGGTTTTCAGAAAAGGGAGAGAAATTCAGTTCTGGAAGAGACTGGGGAAGGAGGTAGCAGGGGGAAGCCAAGTCTTCTCACCCCACTATAAGGCCCCTGAAGACTGTATGAGAAAACATGAAAAGGCCAGCTTTCCCCTGAGAGGGCTGCAAGGTGAAGGGTGATCCAATGCAAGGAGGTAGGTTTCAGTTCAGGCAAGGAAGGAAGAAGGGCAGTAATGCTTGTAAAAGAAAGGCTGAGATTCTGAGGAATGAGTGACTGAAAGAAAAAGGGCTAAAAGTGATTTAAACAAATTAAAGAGGCTCATGAAGACTAAATCTTAAAGGGAAGGGAAAGGAAGGTTATTTCCAAGTTCAGATGGTGTTTAATATTCTTAAATGGACAATTTCTTTGAAAAAGACAATTCTGCTTCTTTCCCCTTATAGAATCACTAAATGGTTTTAAAGAAGTCTCTGAGAATTTAAATAGTTAAGAAACCAGACACTTCCTTTAAAGTCTTCAAAAGAACATTCTTCAATTTAACCACTCTGTGAGCACCTACTATGTTCCTGGAAGTAAAGGATCCAAATGAACTTCCAGAGACTAATGCGGTGACGGAGTAATGAACAATGGCTCTCTAACCAGGTACTATAAAGTAGTATGTACCATGGATATTTAGGATACTAAGAATAAAATCAAAACGTTTTAAGTAGCGATTCTTAATTAACCAGATTTACCAACAAGCTGTTTTATGTGTAACTAGCAAAAAGTACTAGACTATGAAAGAAAAGACAACACTTCTAGAAATCATAAACTCAGGCTCAGAGGATTATTCTCTTTCTACCTAAGTGAATACCTCAATATGTAGTAAGTACCTCTTATCCATGTACTAGGTGGATAAAACATCATTGTTAAGGTTTAAGAGATAAAAAAATTGAGGTGTGAGGATTCCAAATGGGAGGCGGTAGAGGGAGGAAGCAGAAAGCCAGCCCCTATAGTGAAATCTTGGAGAGACGCCTGGGAGACACAAGGTTGCAGGCATAATCAACCGAGGAAAAGGCATAACCTTTGACCTCCAACAACCTCAGCCAGCGCAGAGAATCTCCACTTCATGTTAAACGAGAAACGACGGAAAACCCCGGGCCGCCAGAATCGGCCCCCAGCAGCCCACTGGGGAGATGCAGGGACCAGGTTTGAGCTTTTGCGGTAAGCTAGATGAGGGTGGTGAGTTGGCGGTTCTCCCCAGCAGACAAAGCCTGGGCCAGAGGCAGCAATAGTCCCCTGGAAGATGACCGTCACAGCCAGGGAAAAAAAGGAGACCACTGAGTAAATAAGCAATAAGAAACAGTTAGACCCTCAAAAGGAAGAGAAGGGTGGGGGCGCCCTGAGCGCTGAATGAGATCACGAGATTAAGGGGAAGGGGACTAACCCTTCCCGGGACTGTAAATAAACAAGCCGCGGGCGGGAAGCCTCTGGCGGGAGCCGGGCGCAACCCAGGCAACCAGGAGCAGGAAAGCTTGTGAGAAAGTGTGAGGGTAGGAAAAACTCCAACGAGGGAGGAACGGGAAGGGAAGAACCCACTTCACCAATACGTGAACTGTGAAAGAACATTGGTGGCGGCAGGAGCAGGGCAGCACCGGCCCAGTAAGCTAGGAGCAGGAAAGTTCTTGAAAAGTGGCAGTGGGACGGAAACCTGGCAACAGGAAAGAGGGGGGAAGACCCCACCTCCCACATGAACGCTGTAAATAAACACGGGCAAGGCCTGAATCAACGGCGGGGGCCAATGTCACCTTTCCTCAAGTGCTTGCAAAAGGGGAAAAGCTTGTAGCAGAGGCCGCCGCACAGGAGAAGCTCTGAGCAAAACAAGCCTGCAGGGCCAGGGTGAGTGCTAGCTCACCCATGAGATCTGCATAAAATAACGCCTGCAGCACACAGGCTGAGAGCAGCAGGCTGAAGGCAAGCCAACAGGAGTTGTGCAGATACCACTGCACTCAGAACTGCCTCCA